CTTACATTCATTTAATTAGTATAATACAATACTAGTTACCAAAAATTAGTATAATACTCCTCTAAACCTATACATAAGTAAAAACTATTTAATTTTTTTTAATTAAATATAAATAAATTCCAACAAAATCAACCTTATTTAATATTTTTAATCCAAAATACTCTTAAGATGATAAATAAAAGCAATATCTATAATACATGTGATTATGGATGTTTTAGAAAATGTAATGCATATTGTATATGAGATGGTTAAAATTAAATGCATGAGAACCAATAAGTGTTAAAAACACTCTCATCTTAATATATATACTCGTTCTTATTAGTTAAAATTTATGAAAAATCAAAAAATTAGGAGAGAGGGGAAAAAATTAACCAAATTTGTCATTAATAGTATATAAAAGGCTGCCAATATTGATGTTCAATGGAGAAAGAAATTTAATTTTGATAAAAAAAATATAAAAATCAAATAATTTAGTAACATATATATTTTTTTGTCAAAAAAAATGCACGAATATATTAATAATTGATTTTCTGATAATTTTTATTTAATATAAATTATTATTTTTTTATAAAAATAAAAATCAGAATGGTGAAAAGTATGGTGTATTTTCATCTATTAAAACAAGAAAATTGTATATTTAAAAGCAAGAAAAGATAAAAGTGTAACTAGAAATTACTTGCATCTTAAATGAATCGAACTTTATTCAATCAGAAGATGTAGTTTAATTGGTTGAGTATAATGTATGAATATTATTATAATTTTTTTAATATCAAACTTGATTATATATTAAAAAAAAAAAAAAGTTTCTACTTCATCCATGTTGAACGTGAGTAGTTTGGCATTAGATATAGGCAAGATAGGAAAAATCTGCTCCAATGATATCGGGTGCCCAAGGGATTGCATCAAACGCGAGTTATACATGTCTTTAATGTGTGGTTTTAAGTTGTTATGTGATTGATAAATGATGACTAACTTGTATGATGAAGAAGGTATGATGATAATTCATGAAGTTCGTAGTTGATATACTATATAATGATGTTTTTGTTGTTAAGTTGTAAGTTGATAGATGATGATGTTGTATAGTTGTATGATGCTATAATTGATTAAGTTGTTAAATTGTTTGGCATGTGGTGAATATACATGTCCTTATTAAATTGTTAAGTTGATAGATGATGATGTTGTATATTTGTATGATGTTATAATTGATTAAGTTGTTAAATTATTTGGCATGTGGTGAATATACATGTCCTTGTTAGATACATAAAAACTAGAGGAGAGTGAAAGATATTTTAGAAATTAAAATATTTCATTTTGTGGATATAAGTTATGATACTCTATGAGCCTAGTTGAGAATCCTTTGGTAAGTAAACTGACTTCTGAATAAGTATTTATTTTAAGTCGTCTCCTCTATATTTTATGTGGAATTCATATGTGAACAAGGTTGAGGCATATATGTATGAAACAACCAATCAATTAAAATATAAGATCGAAGACTTAGTCCCTAACCAAGTATTAAAGGGATGTAGTATTAGGAGGGTAGTCGGTGGACTAATCTCATAGGTAACTTAATGTTGCAAGTTAATGTTGTAGTAGACTCATACTCAAACTGTTATACCTTAACAGAGTACTATACTTTGTATTTTAAGTGGTGACACTTAAGAAATCAAAATAGGTTGTTAAACAAGTTCTTTAAAATGCCTGAAGTTGTTTATACATGACTTGGTTGTGATCGGTCAAACGTTGTGCTTTGATAGGGTCTAATTACTTAAATTGTTTATCTCCATTGTAGTAAATTTATATAGTTAATACATGTGATGACTCAATAGTTGTTTATTGTTGTCTATGTTGATAATGTTGTTATTTTGAAGTTGTTAAGATGTGTTGTGGTGTATGTTATATGTGTTGTAGTTGGTGATGAGCAAAAGTTGTGTTGTATAAAGGACTATTGTTTTTTAAGTTATCTATGTTATTGCTTCATGTTATTGTATATGTTATTTCCTTTCATAAGCTTATCCTTATTTATTTTTCTTGTGATTAGAATTATAATAATCATACGAATAAAACAGGATTAACAGATGAACTTGTTTAGTTTGGTAGAAGAGTCATGTTGGTGATGACCCAATTTTAAAAATGTTACTCCTCTATTACTTATTTTTATTATAAATATTTAACCAATGATTATATCTAATTTTTTAATTAACCTAATTAAAGTATATAATTACTCGTGAAAATATTATTTTATGGATAATCTTTTGGATTAAGGTTAAATTAGAAATTGCGAAATAAATTATAGTAAAAAATAAAATAATTTAAAGTTTGAATTGGGAGGAAAAATTAATATTTATGTAATTTCTCTCTTTCTAAATCCAAGAGTCTAATGGAGCTACTTGGAGAAGAATGTTGATTCTTCAAGTTCTCCATGCAAAGACCGAAGAAACTCTTGAGGATGCTTTGAGATGAAGTCCGAAACTCCTTGAGGCAAGCTTCAATGGAGTAGAAATACTTGAAGTGGTTCGGTTACTCCTTAGCTTGTGAAGGAAGCTTGAGGAACCAAGGCAAATGTTGAAAACCTTTGGTGAGAACCTTAGAGAGAAGACTCTCTTCGATTTTGGGAGAAACTCTTGAGAGAGAAATCTGAAGTTTTATTTCTCAAATGTTCAAAAATGATTACAAGTGAAGAAAATACAAATATATAGGGAGAGGTAGCTTCTAGTGTAAGCCAACCTTAACCATGGTTCACTAGGAACCATGGTAAGGTGTAGCTAATCATCCATGGTTTCTAAAACTTGTAGGAGAAGCTAACCTTGACCATGGTTTACTTAAGAACCATGGTAAAGTCAGCCTAATCTACTAAGGTTTAGAAACTTGGAAGACAAGCTTCAAAGCTTGAAGGAGAAGCTAGCAAATTTCGGTCAAGAACAAAGGTGAAGGCAAGCTAGCAAATTTCGGCCAAGAACAAAGGTGAAGGCAAGCTTCAAAGCTTGAAGGAGAAGCTAGCAAATTTCGGCCATGAACAAAGGTGAAGGCTAGGCAGCTAAGGCTCCAAAATGCTCCATGATTTATTTCAAAAATATTTGATTTTGTTTAGTTAGGTTCATCATATGATGATGAGACCTAGCTAAATCAAATCTATGAAAAATTAGGAACAAAATGAGTCTAATATGCAAAATTTTGCCTAGGCCCAGTTCTGGCCCATTTACTAGTCACACCCTCAAGCATTGCTAAAAGCCACCCGTTTTTCCCTACTGAAAAAATATAAAATGAATGTATCAATTAGGGAGGTTAAATGGAGTTAAACTCTCCAAGTAGCCTACCCTAAAATCAATATACAAACACTAGAAAAAGCAAGTAAAGTGCCTCACAAATACAAAGGCAAAAATAACCTATACAAGAGACTATGTACAAATTATACAATATTCACAAGTAGATCTAGGCCTTCTCTTTATGATAGAGTAGTCCAAGTGAAGAATATCTTGAGCTTGAAAAGCCCACTAGTCTTCAAGAGGTCCAACTCTTCTTGTATTCTTCTAGCAATAGTTCTAGTAACTGGGCCCTTGGCCCATGGTCTATCAAAGTCTCTCTTTCCCTTAGCCACGAGATGAGATGAGACAAAGTAATATGTAGACAAAAATTTCTTATTCATTTCTTTGTAATTATCGTTCTGTGGAGATCTACCGGAATTTCAATTCTAAATTTTCTTGGATATATTCACATATACTACATATATGCTTCCATTTTCTATCTATATTATTATCGCTTCACTATTTTTTTATCACGGACCTTGTAATTTCTAGTGAACGCTAATAATTAATTATAAATCTAACGGTAATCTTAATTGCTAGTCATGATGGACACTAATTTTTTTGTTTTTAAATAATTAAATATAATTTTTCAAATAAAATTATCAATTAGTTAATTTTTCACCCAATGAAAAATTTAAATTGGTTAATTTAAAAGTGTTGAAATAAAAATTAGTTATCTGGTAAGGACATTAATCAATAAATAATTTTTTGAGTATGATAAAAGAATATTGGTCGATTTTACAATGAAGAGTTTCTATATTCATCTATTGGTCATATGAAATTATGTTATACTAATACTTAATTAGTTTAGTGTCAATTTATTTGATTTTTTTTTACTGATTATGATCTTCTTAAACTTTTAAGTGTTTTTTTGTTAAATAAAAATAATTGAATATCAACATTCATTTTATTTTTTCATTTCAATCTTTGCCTTTTTTTTATTCCATTATATCCTTTATAAGAAGCATAATTTTGTTTAATTATGGTATAGATAGTCGTTTACTTAAAGAAAACATCTTTTGAAATTTGTTGTCTTTCAGTTTTCACTTAATCTGTATAAATTTTATAAAATAAGTAATAAAGTGGAAAAAAATTTACACGAAAAATTGAAAATTAAACTAACAAAATGTTTTCTCTCTTATAAAATCTTAACGTGCAACCATCTCTCTCACCAAGATTTATAATAGTTAATTTTAGTAACACTTTCCTGCAAAAAAAAATTGTACGAGAGAATTTCAAATTCGATTCCTCTCTTTGATTAAACAATGGAAAATAAGATGAATAATGGCCCAATTATTTTATTTTAAACTATGAATGAAATACTGAATTAAAAAATTGAGTAATAGGGTTTTATGTTGCTCATTTTTCCATAAAGTTGGTCTTCCTTTCTATTTTTTAAAAATATGATTTTAATTAATTTTCATTTTTTTTTATAAATTATAAATTTGTATTCCATTTCTTTTTATGTAACTGATATTAAGGTGGGAGAATAAATGCTAATTTTAAAACATAAAAATAAAAATTAATTTTGACTAAAAATTGAGATACTTAAAACATGTTTTACCGTCTGCAATTTTATCTGTTACTCCTCAAACAGGCTTACAGGCCTTTCCCAGTGGAAGGAAGAGAAGGAGGCCGGGCCCAATGGGCTTATTGGCGGGTGGTCTAGTCACCAATCTTCATTCTTCAGAGTTTTCTTTCACTTTTACTTTACTGTCCGTGCTGAAACGCGAGAGCAAAGAGGAGCTGCGGAAGTTTTCTTTCATTTCATCTCAGCAAAACAGATAGAAAGGCATCATTCAACGATGAGATTTCATGGTAGGTTTGTTATTTCCCGTTATCTTTCCCGCATGCCAAAGCAATTCGAATCAAAGTCCGAATTCACTCTTCCGAATTTCCTGCATCCAACTCCATTCTTCCTTCGTTCTTATTCTACCGGTAATCCTTCGTTCAATCTATTTACATTTCCAGATTTTAGGGTTTATTTTAATTTCAGCAAATTTGATTATATTCATCGATCAATAATGGATTGTTCTGAGCAGAAGATTCTTCTTAGTTATTATTGGTTTTAAGTTACCGGAAACATAGATACCACATTTTTTCGCTCTGAATGCCACTTTAAGTTAGGATAGATGGCAGTTTAACTATTTTTTTTAACAGAAGTGCAACCTCAACTGTCCCCGGAGATCTTGAACATAATGGAACAAAGACTCTCCGCTATTGAGTACAGGACTGCTTGTCTTAACAATTTTCTAAATCAGGTAATGCAGTTGCTATTTGTCTTTTTACCAATATCTCTCACACTTTCTCCTTAATATTCTGCACATTAGTTTTAACGGCACTTCTTTCAACTTTAAGAAAAACCAGAGGAAGGATTTTATTTTAACAAATTAAAAAGAATGACGGATTAAATTTTATCAGAAATTTATTAAGAGACCAAAGTCCTGCGTTAGCCGTAATAGAAGGATCAACAGTTTTTGAGTTTGTTATCTTATGTTTAATGTTTAATTTCCGTTGCTTATTGAAGACAGCCAGAAGCATCACCATCAGAGTATGCAAGAGCTAACAAAGAACTTCGGAAGCTAAGTGGTTCTATGGACCTTATTAATGAATTGAGGGCCAAACAGAAGGTAATGAGTTTGATGCAAGTTGTTTACCTTAGCAAATAGCAACTTGCTGCCCAAATGGCAAGTGGTGTTATGGAATCATGACATTTTAATAATCACAAAAGATATAGAGAACAACAAAGCAACACTAAGCCATGCCTTGTATTCAGTTTATGATTTTCTACAGATGTTTTAGTAACACAGATCATCTTTCTTTGGAAAGAGACTTCTTTTTCCTTGAAGCATCATTAGATTATGTTGCTAAGCTAAGTTAAAATTGATCATACTTTTGTGTCTTAATTATTGGCTGGAGTTTAACCTTCATATGAGAGTAGAGATGGGAATAGACCACGTCAGGACAAGCTTTGAATATATAGGTTGGATTTGTTCTGCAAAATTAAAGCCTAAGTCTAGCCTATTATCTGTCATAGATTTTTTTTTATAAGTCTAGCCTGACCTTTTTAAAGCCTAGCCTATTAGCCTATTTAAAATTTTATTTAAATTATTAATGTTAATTAGGCCAATAAACTTAATTTTTAAAAGTCAACAAAATTATTTTTAAAATATAATTTACTCAATATTATTAAAATTTAAGTTTTAAAAGAAATATGGGAGAAAAATTGAATCATTATTAAAGGGACAATTCATGTGTAATTATGTATGTTGATGTACACTCGTATACAGGTCGTAAACTTATAAACCTATAATGAAAAAAAATAATTGTATAAAAAATATTTTAAATATTAATAATTTATTTTTGTTTTATAATTTATTTGTTTATTTATATTTTTAATACATATATATATATTTATTTTTTTTAATTTTTTATTATAAAATATAAATAAATAGGCTGATCTATCAGGCCTAATAGACTTTTCTATAAACTTAAGCTTAAGCCTGGCCTTTTTATATAAATAGACTTTTTTAAAAGTTTAAATCTGACCTTTTTATTAAATAGGTCAAGTCAGGTCAGGCCATAAGCCCTTGTTCAAGGCCTAGTCTATTCCCATCCTTATATGAGAGGGACGACATCATTCTTGTAGTCACCTATTTAGTTAAGTATACCTGCTTAACAAACAGATATTTGATGATGTATATGCTTTTTTGTTTAGGTACTTCCATGCATGACTTGATTCATGACAAAAGAATTGTGTCTGTTTGTTCCATTTATAGTTGGCCCCACCTAGTGGGAAAAGGCTTTTATTTTGTTGTTCTTAGTGCGATGATACTTTACCACATAGCCTTTAGGTAGCGTACTATCTATCTATTTACATTACTTATGCTTTATTTTTTTTTTGTTTAGAGAAATTAGAAAAGGGAAAAGGGGGAAGATAAGTTAGTATTTTTTTCCGGGTGTATTATCTAATGTTAGCTTTTTACTATCTGCAGGAAATTGATGGTTTGAAGTCTCTAATGACCGAATGTTCTGAGGATAGGGACATGCTTAGTATGGCTACAGAGGAAATGGGCCAGGCCATAGAGGAAGAAAGAAGACTGCAAAATTTGCTGCTGAAGTCCTTACTTCCTAGGGACGATGCTGATGAAAGGGATTGCATTTTGGAGGTGCGAGCAGGTATTATGTCACTGTTGAAGATGGATCAATTATTAATGTTCATCAAACAAATGCTTCAATGAATGTTTCCTAACTTGTCTTATGTCTTGTTTGTCACTTTACTATTATACCTATTTGCTTTTATCTCTATGCTTTCTTTCATCCCCATTTTCATTTTTTTATACCTATTTTTTCCAGGCACTGGTGGAGAGGAAGCTTCCTTGTTTGCAATGGATATCTTTAGAATGTAAGGTTTGATTTTTGTCACTGAAATTTGGTCAGATTCAGGAACTGTTGTTAGTTTTCTAAAAGGGATCTTGTCTGACATGATGTAGGTATGAGAAGTATGCTCTCAAGAAAGGCTGGAAGTTTGACGTAGTAGATATATCTCAATCTAGTTTTAAAGGATACAAGGTACATATTTCATATATTAATACGCACTAAATATGACCTGATTTTTAGTGCTTTGCCACTTTAAGTGTTTTGAATTGTTGACTGTGGCATCCATCATGCATTGCAACCTTCTGGTTGTACTGTGTGCCACAAGTTCTTGATAGTGGAATTGAATTTCACCTTGCAATTGATGTAGTTTGGACTATTCTTTCTCAGGAGGCTAGTGCAGCGATTGCAGGAGTCGGTGCTTTTGGGAAACTAAAATTTGAGAGTGGGATTCATAGAGTCCAGGTTTTAGTTACTACCTCTCACATACAATCTATATGACTATAACTACATCTACTTTTAGAGATCACTGACATTCTTCTTTTAACAGCGAGTTCCTGTGACAGAAAAGTTGGGACGTATTCATACCAGTGCTGTTTCTGTTGCAATCCTTCCTCAGGCTGATGAGGTAATTTGCAATTACCTCTTATGATTCATTGCCTTGTGATAAACTAGAATGCTTGTTGTGTTGAAGAACATGAAAGAGTGCATTCAACTGTTTTTTACTCTAAACCTATGATGCATAGATACGATATGCATCCAACATAGCAATACAATAATTTGAAAATATATAAAATATGATATGTGTAAGATACATACCCGCATATGTATCAATATTTATAAAATATAATAAATGTGTAACTGTAATTTTGATCAAAATTCATAAAGTAATATCAAATATATAATTGCAATTTTGCGAATCCAAATTATGAACATACTTGTACATTACTAAAAACAAAATAGTTATAAATCACTTCCTGTTATTTATAAATAGAATTAATATTGTCAATCTCATTTCTTTCTTAAAGTTGTCTATAAAAAGGACAGTTTCCATTTTTAATTCATCAAGGGACAATGTTTCTAAGTTTATGTATTAAACATGTTCATATGTCTTATTTAGTTGAATTAAATTTTTTAGACTTCGATTCTTTATTGATATGTATCATCAATAAGTATTGATGAAATATCTAAGAGTATTGATATTGGATAAGATTTTCATAATATTTTTAAGTTTTGGAAACTTGACTCATACGTATTGGTAAAGTATCTGCAAATATTGGTGCTTCATATCTCTAAACTAATAATAAAGGAAAAGGCTATGCATTTAGTTATGTCTCTATTTTTCTCCTTTGGTTTTGTTAGGTTGATGAATGGAATTATGAAGGCCTGGTTATCACCTTAGGAGAACCACATCACAAAAGCTAGCCATTTTAGTTGCAGAACCCAAGGTCATATAGATCCTACATTAATTAGAATCCCATACTTTTAAGTGTAACACAAGTCCCATACCTTACATTTGAATCCTAACATCCAACCATGCTCTGCAGCCCTGGTGCCCAAGCTGGATGTCTGTGCACTAATCCTTTGACTAGTCCTGAGCAAACACTGCAGTGCCAGTGTCATCACCTGTGCTGCGTGTCTGCATTGAAAGCCATGGTAGAAAGCTTTGATACCAGTTGATAGAAACCTGGTATCTTTATTGCAGAAACACAGGGATGGACTTCCTAATATACAGAATAGAAAACTCACACACTCAGCAGTTCTTGGAGGGACTGCACCTCCCTAGCCAAAGGCCCTAATTCTCTTACAGATGACAAATTGCCCCTCTCTCTCAACCCTTTTTCTTATTTATTGGCAAAATGCCTTCTTTTTTCTAATTATCTCGGCCCCCAACAAACAAACCTACTAATTATTCCACCAACTATGGATTATCTAACAGATGTGTTTCTACTTTTTCTCTGGCTGATGTCTCATAGCTATCATGCACATGCCCATATGCAGGTGGATGTTCAATTGAAGAATGAAGACTTAAGAATCGATACCTATAGATCTGGGGGTGCAGGTGGTCAGCATGCAAATACAACCAACAGTGCTGTTAGAGTGACTCACATTCCAACAGGGATTACGATTGCTATACAAGATGAGCGCTCTCAAATATATGTAAGTGGTCCAAAATATTTGGCATGATTTGCATTTGATATTTTTTTCATTGGAATGTGCATTTTTTTTTTTTCTGAGTCGCACTCTTTCATATTTGGTATTTATAAAATGTGCTTCAATTAACTTCAAAATGCTCTGTGAGCTGGAGATAATAATAGTGCTACAATTCTCTCGATTGACATTAATTTAATTAACTGGCACTGCAATGACTGCATAAATATTTTCAGCCATGGATTTGGAGTACATAATTATTGAGATATAAGAGATTAATTGTTGAGCAATATGTTCTGGTGTGTAACAACTTGGTAATATCTTACAGTAGTGAATTGCATTTCCAATTAAGTGACATGAATGAACTATAAAGCCATCAGCACATTTCCAATTATGTAAATTGCATGCTGCATTTGTTTTTCTCAGTTGAGGCAGGCAGGCAGCTTAAATTTGGTGTATGCTTTGTGTTTGTTGGGATTGTGTTCATTTAGAAAAGCATGCTTGTGGTAGAGTTGCATTTTAGTCTGAAAATTTCTGTCTGAGCATGGGGATACATAGCCTTGTCAACTTTAGAAAGGGCAGAAAAAATCATTATGCAAGTTTTCTTTTTCAATGTTAGGTTTCTTTCCTTTAGACTTTTTGTTTTTCAGCTATTAGATATATTTATTGTAAGAGCCACTCTTAACATATTTGATGAGTCAGACTTGGTTAATTATGATATTTGATGAATTCACTGTTTTAGTTTCTCTTTTCTACATTTTTCTTCTACTAACATTCTATCTACCTTCTCATTTCTGCTTAGAACAAGGCCAAAGCTCTTAAATTACTGTGTGCAAAACTATATGAAATGGAAAGGCTCAGACTTCATAATAGTCAATCAAAGCTTCGATCAGAGCAGGTAGAAAAGATCTTTTAGTAAACTTTGTTCATTCCATAACCTTTTTCTTTCTGGATTGACTTGGCGATTTTCACACTGTACTGTACAGATTGGTAGTGGGGATAGATCTGAACGCATCAGAACATACAATTTTCCTCAGGGTCGTGTAACTGATCATAGAGTTGGTATCACTTATCACTCTGTAGAGGATGTGATGCAAGGTGAAAATCTTGATGTCTTCATTGATGCTCTTCTATTGCAAGAAGAACTGGATGCAATTGCGGCTTTTAGTTCTTCCCAGTAAAATCAGTGGTTCAACTTTTCCTGATTATAATAATGTGTTATTGGTGTAATTTACTTTTGAGAAGATAATGTTTCATATTTTGCTTATGTTGCAAGGCAGAGGAAGAAGTTGAGATAACATATCACCGAGTGATGTGTTGTACGATTATGTTAGTTATTTGATTAGCATGTTTACTTGTGTTTCAATATTATGGCAAAAACCCGCCCAATTTTAATTCAGCTTAACTTATGAGAGAGGCTTGAGACCTGGTGAAACAGGAAACATAGAAAAGAATCTATATTTCTGTTTCTGTATTGGTTGACCTGAGTGAGTTAGGAGGATCCATGAGATTGCCCACCAATTTTGTGGACCCTGGCAATGCTCCAAGGGGATGGAACAGGAAAGAGTCAGCGGAATTAAAAGAGACGGAAGGCACTAGTGGGTTTTGGTATCTCACTTAATAAAGTAATTTTTTTTTATTTTTTTTTTCACTTCCTTCTGTCGGACTATGGAATGAGTGGGTTGAATAAAGAACGACATCAGAAAGTAAAAAAAAGAGTGAGATAGTTAAAATATTGAGATAAATAATGTGTATATGTATATAGATAGAGATATTTTTTTTTCTGTACATACTGCTTATATCCTCTTGTGAGAATATCATTCATACTACTTTCATTCATTGATCAATAACATTGGTTTGGTATTATTATAAAAGATTCAACGTGTTAGCAAAAGTTTTGCTATTGAGTCTCCGTAGATTACTCAAGCTTCAACAGTTAAACTTCTTGTATCAGTAAGCGTGCCTACTTAAGAAGATAAATAAATGAAGTCAATTCCCCTCCTTAAAAGAGTTCCTTCAAAGGCCAAAATTTGGACTAATAGAAAATAGAAAATGTTAAAACGGCTTGGTTTATTACGATTAGAATTAATTGCCACGACTGCAATTGGAAAAATTCAAGTACATTTTCGGTTAAGTCTACATCACGCTGGTCATAAAATGACACATAATATAAAAATTAAAACTTGTAAAAATATGCACAAAAGTTAAAATAAATGGTTAAATTAAATTTACACCTCTAAAAATATAATAATCAAATAGGCCAGGGGTTCTATTAAAGCATCTTTTTAACATAAATTTTAAATTCTTGAATGTCATACAACTACTATATGTATAAAATATAAATCTCAAACAAATTTAGTCGGGTTCAACAATGTAAATAGTAGCATTAAAAATAAACTGTCCCCTTTAAACTATTACTTATAGTCTAAAAGTATAGATGTTTAAGGATATGAACACAAATATTTAATGAGTATAAAATATTAATACGCTAAGTTTAAAATAGCCGTATTTAACATAAGATGTTAAAAAAGCTTGTTGTTTGTTGAAATACTTTTTAAGTAGGTTGTAATTGTAGTATTCCTCCTAAAGATCAGATCTTGTTATTTTAAATGATAGAATATGTTAAGAAAAAAAATTAAAGAGACTTGAAGTTTGTAAAACATCAATAAATTTTGAAATAAAAAGAAACATCAATAATTTTGGATCAAAATAAGTATCAAATAAAAAGTAGAATTAACTTAAGCATCTAGAACAAAAAATTATGTTTGAAGGGTTATTTCTTGGTCAAAATTTTCCATATAATAATACTATCACCATACTTCAGCGTAACTTTATTATTGATAATTGAATATAACAAATTTGATTTTGTGGTCTTGGCATGTAATTTTCCCTTCTGGATCTCAGTCTTTCTACACATAATAGCACTTGAAAGTGACCCAATTATACTTGGTGAGGCGTGAAACGCGTGGATTCTTTTAGAAAGACAAGACATTATTCAATCGTAATTCCTTTTCTTGCAAGGTAGAGTATTGAAATTTGAAAGATTTTAATAAAAGGAAATTATTGATATAGATAACTTTGGATTATTCCTTGCCCTTCTTCTTCCATGTTGCACTCATAAGATATAAAAATATAACGCATGTACGTTTCAAAATGACATATGCGCTAGCTCCACATGATATCGACTACTAGATATTTTGGTACAATTAAATATTAATTGCTAGATTTGGAAACCTGTAAAAATTAGAGATCCCAACTTGGACAAGAAATGGATAACAGGTACTTTATTTAATCCATATGTTTCCTGTTTCGGTGCCAAAGGATCCACTTTTCATTATCACAAGTTATTTATTTATTTATTATTATTATTATTAACAGCTTATTATTATTAATAATAATAGCTTTATTACAACTAATAACTACTGAGAAACTTAATTATCTTCAATAGAAACTAAATTATTTTTAATAAAATCTTCTCATTCAATTATTTTTTCAATATCAATACTTAAAATTTTTATTTAAATTTTTTTAAATCGGTACTACTCAAATTAATAACTTGTGTATACTTTCATTATCACAAGTATATATCATAACTCTGCCGAAAACCCAGATCTAGCTTATGAGGGACATATTTGTATAATGCAAAGACTTTTTTGTTTTGGGTACAGAAACCCTTTGAAATACATGAATGATAACTATTTGGCACGTCATTGCAAAAATCTGACTCCCCAGACATCATAAGGGGTGTCAGATTTTGTCTAAGCACGTATACCATGAAATCAACAAATGTGAATGAATTACTAGGAAATCCTCAATTTCCTAAAAGTACACCGAAGGGATCCAGATTGAGTGAGGCTAGTGACATGGATGCTTTTGCAAAGAGCTTGTGTGGATGGAGTTGGGAGGAGAACAAATTGTTTGAGCTAGCTTTGGCAGTGGTAGATGAGCAACACCCTGAACGGTGGGAGGTGGTTGCAGCCCTTGTTGGAGGAGAAAAAAGTGCTGGAGATGTTCAAGAACATTATGTGATCCTTTTGGAGGATTTACACGTTATAGAATCTGGAAAACTTGACCATAAACTAGGAGAAGTTGTCCTTGTTGAGTGTAAGGAGTCCCTGTGCTTATCTCACAATGATACAAGCATCTAGTAACTCCCTTGTATTTGGTGGAACGTTTTTAGAATGGTATTGAAAGCCAATAAGCCACGAGAAGCATGAAATATTTACTAGGAACTTGCTCGGGGTCATGTTATTGTTAATCAAGCTGCTTGTTGTAATATGTTGATTTCAGCTTGGTCATTCAATTGGAAATAATATGATGTGTGGTTACAGAAGGCATCAGTGAAGCAACTTGGCTCATGGTAATTCATTTTTGCTTTTTTTTTTTTTTTCCTCTCTCTCTCTCTCTCTCTTCGTTCTTTTCTGTTTGGTTGAGTAGAAGTTTCACGCCAAAACCTTGTTCTTTTTTTGGGGGCGCACTTGATTTTGTGTTCAAATTTCAACATGTAGCTATACAGATTTCGTTTTGTAGCTGATATTTTTAGTTCATTATTTTTATTAGGCAACCCAACCGGGTTAATTCTTAATGAATTCTCCCCCATTTCATGGTTGCATTCAATAAGTCCAAGTCCCTTACTATTAAGCTGTTAGCTATTCTCTCGATGATTGATTCATGCCAGAACACAAGAGGTTCTGCGAGAGAATCAGATCAATTTTAAATTGCAACCAAATCGACTAATGGCATCGATGAAGAATTCAAACAACATGGATAAAGCTATTGAGAAAGGGTCAGCATACAAGCTTTAAATTAAGACACAATTAGTAAAAACTTTAACTCGTAGCACGTCAAATCGTCAATTCAAATGAGCTTATTTAGTGTGTGATAGAAAGTAGATACATTATTGCTATTTTTCACCCTTTTACTATTTTCTAGCATTTGAAGTTTTTGACATATGATGGCCAAGGGGCTAAAAGCCTAAAAGAAATGCCTGACTTCAGTGCCCACCTTCATATACAGAAATGCATGAGCTTTGGAATTTAGATTGCCACGTGACTTGAAATTCTCTCCATCGTACTTCTTTACTTCAAAAAATGGCAGATGAGTTATACTTATACTACAATTGGCCCGAACATGTAATAATCTTGCAGCAAACTTTGGTTGATAATTTTTTTTCACACTGTTGTCTTAAAGCTAAAAGATCTCAACGTTGAATTACCCCGCTCAACATGCTTCTTCTGATCTGCTGATTGAAGCGTGGCAAAATCTGTATCCTGTCTATAATAAAAAAATGTATATATATTATATGATTATGGTCCTGCTTGTGGAACGAGTTTCACATAATGAAAGCAGTTAGTGACCTTAAAAAAATTGAATTTAACAGACATAAAAATAATCACAGCCGAACAAATGTGTATGAAAACTGAGAGAATGGTGCATGATTAAATTAATAGAGCAGTAGCAATCAGAGGCGATCTAATAGAAGTGTTGCATGATTTATAAAACATTGCATCACACTCATCAGAACCCTTTAACAAATTAGAATACAGATATTGAAGCACATTCCATAAATAATAATAAGAGTTAGAGTAGGAAAGAGACAGAGCCAGGGAAGAGGCAGTGCATGAGTGTAGCCACAACAGATCTCTCCCTCCTCTCATTCTCACTTCATTATTTTTCTGTTGATAGATCCATTCGTGCTCTGCCTGTTCCCAGCCTTTGTCCTGTCTCTTGCTGTTAACTCTATCACCCTTTGGATGGATTAACTTGCCTCAATATCCTTATCAACATCATTAACCACCTGTTTCAAACTACAAACTAACAAGGTTCCCTCAATTCTCAAATATTACCCTCACAAAACTGGGCTTTCAGATTACTCTTGAGCATAGATGATACAATCCATCTCGCTATATATAGAATAATAATAGTAGTAATTATAATAATAATTGTACCACAAAGGGGAATGAATGGTTTATAGTACAAGCATGTACTATCAAATTTCAGTTCAACGCTGCCCTGTACTACTACTTAATGTTATTGGTACTACACTATTACATTAACACCATTTCAAAGTGAAAAAGAAACTTCATGGAGACCTCGTGTGTACTACTACCTTTCACCTCCTGCTACTCAAAGATCCAAATTCCCTTTTCTTCTTGGGGGAGATGCTAGGTTGCCAATCATAAAGTAAAATAAATTCATTCAAAAATTTGAAGGAATAAAAATTCCTAATCCTTTGGTTCCTACATCTGTTTTGGATTTTGGAAATAAATTGACTAATTTGCGGTTTGGTCTCACTATTTCTGTGAATATGCAATTTTGATACTTCTAAAAAAAATTTATATTTGATTTTTCTATTTTAAAATAAAAAAATTTAATCTTTATCATTTTTTAAATATATAATTTTAATTCTCTCATCAAATCAATATATACTAATCATTAAGTTTTAACATTTATTCATACGATGTAAAATTTAATAATATGATATTTTGAGATAAAAAAATTTTAAAAAAAAATCATGCAAATAAGATTTATTAATGAAATAAATATCAACCACTCCTTAAAATATATACAAACAAATTTTTTTATGTTATTTTTTTTAGTTTTATATCTCACATCACTAAATATCACATTATTTAATTAGTAATATGTTATTGAGTATTGTCAAAATTTAACAATTAACAAATATAAATTAGCAAAAGAACTAAAATTCAATATTTTTTAAATAAAGAGGCTAAATATTTATATTTTAAAATAAAAGATTCAAAAATTACATATTGAAAAAAATAAAATAAAAATGCAATTTAGTCGACTAAATTAAAACAAATTTTGGTTGTTGTGGAAAAATGGTGAAGTAATTCCTAATTTGAGGGGCAAAAGATCAAAAGAATGGAGGGAATGGGATATAATGACAATGGATCTAATCATGTGACGCTGAAAGAAACGGTTCTCTTTCAGGAGAAGTACAGCTATATCACCAACCAAATGTTACTGCAATTTCACCAAAAAAAAATTACCTAACATGATTCGTTGTTCCACTTTTCCTATGATTACCCTAGACGTGATGGCACCGCAATTATAGAAATATCCTTAGTCAAGATAACAGGTAATTAATCGTCATATATTTATTTATATACACACCTGTCAGTTCCACTATAAGTACTCGTGATTCAATTTTTCATGTTTATGGTCATTGCATGGTTAGACTCATAATGAATATCATTACCTTATTCGTAGTAAATATCATTAACTTTGGCATCCCATATAATATAAAGGTAGATTGATGATGAATTGGATCGTGGTGTATAACCTTGCAAAAGGAAAAGCTAGTATGGTATATATACCAAGCTAATACGTGGTGTACTGGAAGGAGTATGGTCTATTTGCCTTATCATGGGACAAAGGGTGGTGACAGATCCATGTATGCAATTCAATTATGGAGAAAGAACTTGAGAATCTTGGACTAGAACCACATGGGTAAATCTCTTTCTCAAATCTCAATGGAATGCTTTTCCTGGTCAGAGTATCTTTGTACACAATTTCGTATCTTGTAAACCTAACAAGCCTTGGACCAAACCTATTTGGGTATTGACTATTGAGGATAACATTTACTTACACACAAGTTAGGTAAGAAACACATGTTGGTGGGTCCTTCCCGCTTCCCAAAATTTGCATCAATACAATCAAAAACGATTCTGTAGTGCTCAGGTATTGCATAACAGGAGTCCGTGAGGAGTGGAACTAGTGAACCTCAACGTGTTTCCCTTCATGCTCAAAGGGACTAACCAATCACATCTCCACAAAATAAAATTTTTAAATAAACATTAAACCATCTCTCCATTCCCCCACTTTCATTTTCTTTCACTCATAAAACTTATCTCTTCTCTAAATAGTTATCAAACAAATAAAATTAAAATAATATTACATATACAACAAAAATTATATAACAACTCCATCACTTTTAAATTTATCTCTCTTTATCATTAATAATATATCTCTACATAATAAATGAAGTAATAAAGAGAGATAGACACAAAAGTAATATTATAGTTATACTATTTATATTATAATTTTTTGTTATATGTGTAACATTACTCATAAAATTATGAAAAATAATAACCAATGTTTTAATGCCTATAGACACTCGATAAGAAATCAAGAGTAGAATATTTTTGTTAAATAATGTATTTGCATATTCTTGAATATAAGTTTATTGTAGTTTTCAATAAAAACTTATATATTGATTCCTTGACTAATGTTCTGAGAATACTAGCAAAGTCAATTCTGAGGATGGTTAGGAGGGAACGGTTTTCCTAAAACCATGATTAAGAAGGATCTAAAAATAATTTATACAACTTTAATTTAAAGAAAAAATTAATATATATTTTTTTTATAATGATACTTCAATTTTACTTTTTTTAAGATCAATTCTCAAATTTTAATTTATCAAAAGTAAAATTAATGAAATTTCAATTTATAAAAAAATCAATTTATAAATGAACAGGTACAAAATTTGTTGAAACTTGGTGCCAAAATTTGTAAATTTATATACTTAATATCTTTTTGTACAATGAATATGTGACATTATTCTTGTTGGATCGAGCGCTTACCACTAGGCCAAAAGCTATTGTTGATAGTCAGGGCGCAACTCTTTTTACTTAAGAGCGCAGCAACCCAAGCGTCATGATTCGACAGTGACTTAGCCCACCTAACCTCTACCACGGGACAATTGATGCAATCCGCAACAATTCTTAAGAAAAAAAATATGTAATATTACATCCATGATTATATATCAATTTTCACATAATTTCAACTTTTACAAACATGTTATCTAACAATAAATAAATAAATATATATATATATATATATATATATATTGAATATTATATATTAAATTAAAGTGATGTCATAAACTATCAAATAATTTTAAAATTATATGAAATTTTATATAATTAATCTAATTAATAAAAACATCAGACACATTAGTTATATTGATTAAATTTATATTTTAAAACAATATTAGAAGTATAATTCCATACATCGATAATATAAAAAGAAAACTTATAATGTTAACAAATCAAAAATCATGTTAATCATGACTTTAAAAAATAGGTTAAATATCTTTTTAATCCTGTATTATATTTATCTTTTTCTTTTGGGACTTAAAAATTTTTTGTTTAACTTTTGGTCTATGTAAATTTTATTTTATCCTTAGTCTTATTTTTTTGTTTAACTTGATGTTTGACATATGCATTAATAAAGAAAAAGTAACTCCAGGGACAAGAACAAAAACAAAAATTATAAGAACCAAAAGTTAAACAAATATTTTTAGGGACAAAAAGTGAAAAACATGCATATTACAGGGAGAGAAAAAATTAAGAAGAAAAAACGAAGTGGGGAAAAAAACTATCATAAATGACAACCTTTTTAAGGAAATAAAAAGAAAATATTTCATTTTGAACAATGTATAAAATCCTTTACATTATAAGTGTATTTAAATTAAACTCAAGTAATTTTTTGACATAATATTTAAGATAAAGCATTTTTACAAAAAATTTTTTTTTACATATATTAGGTTTGTTTGATTGAACTTAAAAACATATTTTTATATAAAAATAATAATAATTCTTTGAAAAACATGTAGTAGTTGTTTCTTAAAAAAAAGCTTATTTTAAAAAAAAAATAGATAAACACGTTAAAAAAAGTTAAAAAAAAACTTATTTTATGAAGAAAAAAAACATTTGTTTGAGAAAAAATTTTAAACAACAAAACCCATTATCAATTATGTTTTCCTTAAAATCCTGAAATTTGGTGTCAATTTTGTTTACTTAAAATCTCCTGGCTCTTCCTTTTCTTGCTCTGTTGCGCAGTAGTTAACATGCTTCCTAATTGTCAAGTGTGTTTTATTTATACGATAAAGCAAAACGAATTCATTTACAATAAAAGAAGAAATGCTTTGCGTTAATAGATTGCTGTTGCGGACGCCATGTTCCAGCCCCCGCAACATGTGTACCGTTACATCGGCAGAGCTCAATTACATGATCAACACTTACATGCAAGACGACAACATAAGTCATGCCCGCAAACTGTTTGATGAAAACCCCTCGTCCCGCAACCTCGTTTCCTGGAACATGATGATGTATGCCTACGCCAAACATCATCAAATTCAACATGCCCACGACCTGTTCGATCAAATGCCCCTTAAAGACGTAGTTTCCTGGAATACCATGCTCTCTGGTTTTCACAGAACCTCGAACTCTGATGGGTTGTACCACTGTTTCTTGCAAATGGGAAGAGCTGGTGTGCCCCCTGATGACTATACCATTTCCACATTCCTCAGAGCAGTTATAAGTACTGAGTTGGATGTTTTGATCCCCCAGGTTCATGCTCGAGCACTGCATTTGGGACTTAACTTAAGTGTGTTTGTTGGGTCTTCGTTGATCAAAGCTTATGCGAGTTTAAGAGAGGAGGAGGTTTTTAAGCGAGTGTTTGATGATATATTGGCAAAAAATGTCACATCTTGGAACGCTTTGGTTTCTGGTTATATGGAAGTGGGAAGTATGGGTGATGCACAAACAACCTTTGATATGATGCCACAGAGAAACATAATTTCATGGACTACTTTGGTTAATGGTTATATCAGGAACAATAGGATAAACAAAGCAAGGTCTGTTTTTGACAAAATGAGTGAGAGGAATGTGGTGTCTTGGACAGTAATGATTAGTGGGTATGTGAAAAGTAAGAGATTTATGGATGCTTTGAAGCTTTTTGTTCTGATGTTCAAGTCGGGAACTCGTCCCAATCATTTCACCTTTTCAAGTTTGTTGGACGCATGTGCTGGTTGTTCCTCTCTTTTAACGGGAATGCAGTTGCACCTCTGTGTTATCAAGTCTGGCATGGCGGAGAATGTCATCTCATTGACCTCGCTTGTGGATATGTATGCAAAATGTGGGGATACGGATGCTGCATTTCGTGTTTTTGAGTCCATTCTGAATAAGAATCTGGTGTCTTGGAATTCAATAATTGGCGGGTATGCCAGACATGGGCTAGCTACCCGAGCACTAGAGGAGTTTGATAGGATGAAAAAAGCTGGTTTTACACCAGATGAAGTCACTTTTTTAAATGTGTTGTCAGCATGTGTGCATGCAGGTCTTGTTGAAGAAGGTGAAAAGCACTTCACTTCTATGCTGACCGAGTATGGAATCCAGACAGAGATGGAGCACTATACTTGCATGGTGGACCTGTATGGAAAAGCAGGGCAATTTGATAAAGCAGAAAATTTGATCAAGAATTTGCCATTTGAGCCTGACGTGGTGTTGTGGGGTGCGTTGCTTGCAGCTTGTGGCCTGCATTCAAATTTACAACTTGGAGAGTATGCTGCAGAGAGAATCCGCAAACTGGAGAGCAATAATCCTATTTCTTACTCCATGCTTTCAAAAATCCAAGGCGAGAAAGGAATATGGAGCAGTGTAATTGAATTGAGGAATATGATGGAGGAGAGAAAAGTCAAAAAGCAGAAGGCAATTAGCTGGGTCGAGTAAGCTCTATCTGTAAACTCGACCGAGTGATAAAGATTACGTGCATTGTGCATAGTGCAATTTAATAGAAAATGTGTTGCCCAGAAGAAAAATCCTCACTCCTCATTCTTTTGTGGCTCTTTCTACCCAAATGAATTCCCACGGTATATTAGAGCCCAAGGGACGTGGGAGTCTCTAACATCCTCGAGCCAGTGGCAAGGGAAAATGCCAGATGAACTGTCAATCACTCATATCCCTTGGCTTCTGGTGAATCAAATGCCCATTTTATTGAAGATTTATGAAGTATGTACTGTTGTTAAAACGAGCTGGGTTAAAATGTTCGAGTGAGCTTTTTCCAACTCTAGAATTTTCAAATGCAAAGTTACAATTGGAGGGCAATAAAAGCATTGGCAGTGCTTTGTGGTGGTATGGTTAGTCATGGTTACTCTAAAATATTGAAAATCCTAAGAGATACGAGGGAAAGAACATCATTGGATTGCAAATATGATGTAGACATTGTATGCTGGTATTTAGCTTTTGTTAATTTCTTGTATTTTATGGGTAATGAACATCAGTTAGCTTAGGTTATATGTTTATTTGCATAGTTCGAAAACAGGAAGGATGTAATTTGGAGAAGAATAAAAAGGTAGAATGAATACCGTATATTAATATTCACTGGTTCTTACGTTTTATCATAAGAATGGACTATGCAAATTACATCTGAGGATAAATTTGAAAAAAAATAGCTTATAGTATGTTTTTATGGCACCCCCCTAAGAAGCCTTGCCTAATAATTCCAAACTAGTTTTTCAATTCGATACTTTGACCTTGTTAGAGTGACGTCGAAGTTACTGAGAGTCCACTCTGCTACTTCATCTTGTGAGCTAACAAATATCTCAGTTCCGGTATCAATGGAAGTCCATATTCTTTTAGCAGGAGGAGTGCCAGGGTCCTGCACCAAGAAATTCAAATATTTTACGAGACACGTAATCTGCCATGAGACTCCAACAGTAAATAGAAATTCAATCACTGACCTGATAGAAGTAGAGTCTACTGGACAGTCCACCAACATCAAGTTCCCAAGTCCTTGGATCCCCAACCCAACCATCTCCTTTTTTGGTGGGATAGCCATAAGCACCCCATATTGGGTGAGGTAGTAACTGAACTATCTCTTGTGCCTGAGGATTGCTGGAAGGATCACAAGTGCTTACAGGTTGCTCCACGTGTTTAGCATTGCCTGGAGCACAGTAATAGTGATAAGCCGAGTAGGGGAAATTGGCAGTGTCATTTCTATAAATTTTCCTGTTATCTGGAGTGATATGAAATGGCGGGCAGTTCCTCAAACCTGTAGGGCTGCACCAAGCTGGTGTTTCAGGATTAATGATCATCTCACTATATCTAGTGACATCAGTTAGGACGTCTCCATCACAAGGAGCACCATTGTTCTTCCAGCAGCTACCCATGTCTAAAAGGTAGAACTGGCTCTGAGGTCCTCCCCCATTTTTGACATCTAAGCTCAACCTGACTCTAAAATTTGGCGACTCTGGAAGCTGAATCATGAACCCAAATGGTTAATTGCGAACAATCAAACCAGATACATTGAAAGGAAATAGATTAGCTTACCAATTTTATAACTACATAAACAAAATTTAGAGTTTGAAATGTTCATTATGAAGGAAACTGTGGACAAATTAAGCCTCAACTTACGGTTTTAAGCATTCCCCTTGTGTCGTAATGGTAACCTCCAGAAAATCCTCTGGTTGCATCAGCTCTCAGGTACAGCATCAACCATGGGTATTTCTTTGAAGTCTTGAGCTTATGTTTGAACACCCAACTTCCCTCATCAACTTTCTTCTCCCAAACTACCTCATAGTAAGAATGATCAGCTTTTTCACCCTCACAATCAGAATCCAAATCATAAGTACCATAGAATCTTCCATGCAGAGTGGAATTTTTGAGCTGTGTCTGTTGATGACACAAAATGGGTTGGTTCATGCACCCCTCTCCAAAGCAGGGAAACTTGCCTGGACTAAAAGGAGGCACCTTTTTCCCGTCCTGGGGGCATAAACCAGAACTTGTGTCATAGTTGCCATTTTTTAGCATTATCATCCAGAATTGCCAAGGCTTTCGGGTGTCTTCAACTTGACATAAAGATCCCAGATACAATTCCTTTTGAACTGCATAAAGGTCAGTATTATTGATATCTCCTGGTCCAAGACCAGGAAATGGTTTTCCCACCCCAAGTTTGTTATCAGCTTCTGTGACCTTGTGTTTCAGTGAACCTGAACCTGAACCTGTGCATCATATTCATACAACAAAACAGAAATCATTATGTTAAAAGAACAAAAATGTCTCGCGGAAGCACATCCTACACAGATTAATTTTTAGTTGTCAGTTTTTGTACACCGCATGTCTATGAACAAAAAAAAAAAAAGAACCTAAAACGTTTATTGGTGTTCTAAAATTGTTTGTGTAATTTGATTTGGCCTACTTGAAAGATCAAAACAATCAGCAGCTCTTGGGCTACCCATGAGAGGAGCTTCTTGACCAACTTCATTGCAAAAATTCCATGCTTCAAAGGCCACCCTCAGTCCATTTCTCTGCATTCCTGGGTCTCCTACTGCAGAAACATGACTTGTGACTGCGGTGACGACGCTTGACACGAACACAAACACAAACAAAGTACGTAACTGCTCATCTATTTTCATTCCCATTCCCAGGGATTCCCTGCCTCAGTGGCCCAGCAAACTAGATATATCTTTGAACGTTTATGTTTGTAATGGAGTAAAATTGAAAAGTCATACCAAGTATATATGTATTGATAAATATTAATTTGCATGCTATGTACATTTGAATGCAAGTTGGTGGATATATTGAATATTTACTTTTCTCAATTAGATTCATTTCACTTGACTATATAAATGAATTTGATTAATAATAGTTAATGTATTGAATATATCTAGTTTTAAATTTTATTTAATAAAAGATATATTAATTATCATTAAATTTTGACTTTTGTGAATGAAAAATAAAATTCAAACTGAAAAAGGATATCTACTTACTTAATATCTATTAAACTCTCGAAGAAGATTAGTCTTTATTTAATGAGGAGAAACTCCTTGATAATGAAAAATAAATAAATAGCTTTTTCTATTATAATGTGATTTTTAATAGCTTTTTCTTTATTTTCTATTTAATATTTATCAGTTTTATTTAATTTCCAACAAAATGTATCCATAAAAAATTGACTAAATTGTACTTTTAGCTCTTTATCTTATTTTTAAGATTCATTTTAGTTTTTTATCTTTTAAAATGTTCATTTTGGTTCTTTATTTTTTAAAATCATTTTGATATTTTTTCTCTTAAATTTAGGTCAATTTAATCCTTTTAAATCCTTTTTTGTATTGATTCAAGACTTAAAACTTGTCTGATAAAATTCATTTTTATAAAAATTATTAAATGTAATTGAAGTTCAAACCTAAAGTATTATAATCATGGTGAAAGTAAAAAAGTTTAAAAAACTAATTTCATATTATTTTCTAATTGTTCATAAGATATATTTTTCATAAGATTTTCACTATATTTATGACCCCTTTGCAATTGAACGTCAATTACATTTTATAGCTTTCATAGGGTAAATCTAATGATACAAGTGTCACATATTGAATTAGTCAAAAAATGATTCAAAATCATGTTAGAAAATTGAAAATAAACATTATTTTAAAATGACCAATTTGATTCAAATATAAAAAAGAAAGGAATAAAATAAATATTTTAATAAATAAAGAAGCAAAATGAATCTAAAAAATAAGATTAAAGACCAAAATTATAATTTAACCTAAAAAATTCATAGAATTATATAACCAATATTTATTATAATTAAAAATATATATATTAATTGTTGTAATTTTTAAAAATATTTATCAGAATAATTAACACATCAATTGAGTAATATAATTATAAGTTTCACATAATTAATATAAATACTTTTTATTTAGTCAATCATTTAATTAACCAAATCTTAGAAGATAATCATTTAATGAACAGTATTATGAAAAATAAAGTTGTGATAAATAATTTCATATTTATTTAAAATTAACGCATGCATAAAATTTTATTTTAAATACAAATATTCAATGGAATCAACGATCTTACCGTTAATGAAATATATAATCAAATGATGTGATATTAAATTGTTTACACTTTTAGTGTACGTACTGCAATTTGCAATTGATTGATAAATGCATTAAATGTTTCATTAATAATTTTATATTTAGCTAAAAAAATACTTTAGGTTAATAATTTGATTGATAGATTATATTGATAAAATTAATAATTTGATTGATAAATTATATTGATAACATTAATAATTTGATTGATAAATTGTATTGATAACATTAATAATTTGATTGATAAATTATATTGATAAAATTTGATTTGAAATGCAAAAGATTAAAAAAATCAACAATTTTGCTGTATTTATAAATTGAAAAATGTTATTTTATTATCACTAACAAGAAAAATCCTTTGTTTATTGTTTTACTCTAGGAGAAGTAATACAAGCTTTATTGCATGAACTACTATTTGCTCTAAAACCATCCTTTGGGGACCAATTCTACAATCTTATTTGATGATGGATGTCCCAGTCCCAGCGGATTAATTGTGTCACAAATCAAAGGAACTCTCTCACTATTAGTCTCCATAACGTACTCTAGATTACAACAATCACAGCCCTGAAATATAGATCAAGTTAAAACAAAAACCCAAATCATTAATGTACTGTAGTTCCATTTGAGTATATACAATTTGCTAGTTCTCTAAAAAATCTTAATAAATATAGATTATGTTTTACGTAGAAACTGGGTTTAGATCTCCATATCAAATTTTATCATGCCCAGTATATTTTACATAAAAATATATTGAACTGAATTGGGCTCCAGCACACCTAAATATGTAAAAGTTATAGTGTTATACAAAACATTTTTTCTTTGAAAGTACGGCAAAAATGTCAAATAAGAAAATAATCATTTTACCTATTTGTTTGGTGTTTTTCAAGTGCATGCACGTTCTATTTTATTCACTGACACAACAAAAAGGCAAGACCAGATCGTCATTCGTCAATGTTTGTCGTTTGGTGAATTTGCGAAGACCTAATGTATGAAACTGGTTAGACTGGGCCTTCACTATTCAGCCTTGGGCTCTGAGACCCAATAGCTTAGTTTTATAATTTCCTTTGGTTACAAACTTAACTCTAGTTACCATTCTAATTAATTGACTTCTTGTGTTTTGGAATTTGGATAAAAAAAAACATGAGTGACGATTATCAATGATGACGGAACGCAAATAATAATTTATTCTAATTACCATTAATGAAATTTGTGATAAATTTTAAATCTTAAATCCTAAACTTTCATAATAAAAAAAAAAAATCAAGTTATTATTGAACATTTTTTTAAAAAATTTAATCATTCAGAAAGTCGATAAATATTTGATAACAATAATTGTGAAAAGCTCCTCAAGGTATAAGACACTGCAGCTTTTGTCATATAAATAGTCAGCTAAAAAGAGAATGTGTGGGCAGCAACAAACCAAGCTTGGTCTCATCTTGTGGTTCTTGACTATGTGGCTCACTAATCAAGTTGCGAGCTGTCATTGTTATACGTGGGGAAGAGAAAGAATTTGAATGTAAATTTATTAGAAATGAAAATTTTGCATACTTTATTTAATAATTTTTATAATTTTAAGTAATAAAAATATGTTAAAAATTATATTTTACATCTAAACAAAATATAAAGACATCGACAAAATTTAAATTTAAAGTTTGATATACATTAGATTTCATCATTTTACTAACTCTAGTAATTAAAAAAATATATTGTGCTATTTGTTAGAAAATATTAATAGAAAATAATGAAAGAGAATATTATGTTTTATAAATAATCACTGTTCTAAAAGTAAATTTTTAGTGAGTCTTCAATGACAATTTGATAATCGATTTATTTTTCAAGATTTATACTCAAATTTATACACTCGAAGTTAAACACATTAAAGTTTCATGAATAATGTCCAAAACAACATAGAATAACATTAAAATAATTAGTACTTATATGTCATTATCTTCACAATCTCTCATTAATGGCAGATAAGTAAAAGAAAGATAAAACAAATCATGGATAAGGAAAGGTTATTGTGCTTAAGTATTAATATCCATAGGATTGATTAACACCTTATGTCCAAAAAGTAAATTATTATTGAACTTAATGGATTTAAGATGTAATTCTCACAACACATACTTTTCTTTTAAAAACCTGATTAAAATTTTACACAATATTTTAGACATTTATATGTATATTCACCTTGGATTGCTCATGAGTGTTTTAGAAAGATAGCTAAAGTCTTTCATAGAAAGTAACCTACGTCTTCCCACTCACATAGGTAGATACTTAAAGTACATCTCTATAACCCTAAACTCATATTAAGGGCTATGTATCTATTAACAACTCATGGCTCAACCTCACTTCAAGCATTGGCTCGTGTTACAAGGATAAAAAATGTAATGCATAAGAGTATTCATATGGCTTCCTTTGACCATTAATTGGGTGTCCATCATATTTTTTCCTACTCATGGCTTTAAAAGCATCCCCGTAATATATCAAAGACAATTTTCCTAAGTAATCCTTTTATGAGATACTATAGAATTTTCCTTTACTTATAGATCTACAAGATTTTCTCACCTTTTACATACTTTTGTGATATACTACAATTTTTAATTAAAATTGTGACGCTATGTCTTAGTATCTTCTCTTATTATTATAAGCATTATTAATTACAACAGTTGTAGTTTATTAATCATAGTGAAAGGATACAAGAGATGTAGATCTCCCTATAATAGTATAGTAGTCATTAAGTTTCATTAACTATTATACTTATTCACCTGTACATTCAAGTATTAGAAATTTCAATTTCATTGTAAATCATGTTATACATGTTTGTTTTGTTAATTTCTAAGAAATAATATCACCTCTTAAAGTGAATATATATTTATTTACCTAATATTTTTCTAAACTCCGATATGTATCACAAAAACCTTTTGAAAAGAGTTGAAAAGTCAATAAACTCTAAACTCCAAGTCATAGTGTCTTTACATATTTTTAAAAGACATAATTTTTTTGAGTTAATCACCTATACACTATAAACACATTTACTTTTTACAGTGACATGACACAATTAAAAGATATAATTGATTGCCAATATTAAAAAATTTTATACTAACAATATATAAGTGATTAATTCATTTTTTTTCTTCAATAATCATCATTTAGATTATGAATATACCTGCTCAATCTACTTACGACATATGTAATATCAATTATAAAATAATTTACAAGACACGCAACACTACTGGTTATTTTTGCATATTCAAATTAAGAAATATTGAGTAATGACATTTTATCATTTTTTAAACATATGATGCTCTATCACGTACAACATTAAAACTATTGAATTTTTTTAATAAATTTTTAAATATAATAAGTTTGACTTTAAAAAAAACTATTTTTCATCTTTTCATATTTTAATACCTAAAATCACACAAATTTTTTTCAAGTTTTTCATTTCGTTTTTTATTTTAAAATTTTGATCACAACTTTTAATTAAATGTCTAATAACAACATATCATCATATGTTATCACAATTAAAACTACTATAGTCACACTATTAAAACTAATAACAAATTTCGAGACTTTAACATTTATTATATAGATAACAAATTTTTTTATTGTATAATAGTATAAACAGTAAAAAACCATTTGCAATGCTTACCTATTTATTCTACGTTCAAACATCCACTGAGATTAAGAATAACTTATCATTTTAACCTGTTAGGATGTTAAATAACTTCCACACAATTAAAGGGAGTCAAGGGAAAGATATACTACCTCCCTTGTACAAGTTCCTTTTTATGTTATTATCCGTAAAGATTCTTTTTAATTAACTTTTACACTGATTTTTCTTTATGATATCCATAATTAATTAATAATCATTTTAGAAAAAAATACTAAAGATTAATGAGATAAATTACTTTATCATATTCAAATAAAATTGTCTCTAATAAAATTGTGCGTAATTTATAAAAAAAATGATTAATTTCAAAATATTAAGTATAACTTTTGAAAAATAGTTCAAATTGACAAATTTAATATTATTAATTAAATTAATCAATTTTTTTAAAAATGATCTTTTATATATATAAGGAGGAATGTTGTATACAAGAAATAATATAATGCCTCTGAAATCTGTTCAGAATGATGGGTCTCTTTCTATTCTTCCTCTAGTTCATAACTAGCTCTGTACATATGATTTGCAACCACCTCTAGAATCAGTGTAATTTCTGTACAAAATATTGCTGCAAACAATTCAATTAGTATCCCCGTTTTATAAACATTTGCAGGAATTTGTAAATAAAAAAAAAGTTTTGGCAGCTTCTGCACTGTAACTGTAACAATTGGATTTGCATTGAATCGGTCATAAACAGCCCTCCAAAATATGAGGCAGTGTTATCTTCCCACAGTTAGAGGGGTCAAGCTTCCTGAATTGGTCACAAATTTGCAACACATCTTTTTCCTGTATTTTACCCATCTCTTTCAGCTTGAAGATCACATACTCTGACTTGCTGAAGGGGAAGAGCCATGGCACATGGAAATTTCCAGTAAGAACAGAATCTAACAAAATCAATCCTTTCAAATAATAATCAAACAAATAATGGAAATTTGGGTGTGTAAGTGTAAAAAACCTGATGAAACCAGTGTGGTTGAGATCAGCAGCAAGCAAATCCTGAACGGTAATATCCCTTTGCAAGACATTGTTAGCCATGCGGCGATGCCTTCTATCGATTCTGGCCTCAGCCAAGTAGAGGAAAGCCCTAGCGACCATGAGAGTGGAAAAGAGAAGCCAAACGGCGGCGAACAAGCGACCAGGAAGCGTCTTGAAAGCGGCGTCCCCATAGCCAACCGTGGTGACAGACATAACCGACAAGTAAACAGAGTCAACCCAGTCCAAGCCCTCCACGAAGTACAGCACCAAACTCCCAACCCCAATACACATCACCACAACCCCAAGCGCCAACCCCACCTTCAGCCTTATCCGCATCCTCCCCTTCGCCACGTCCACAATATAACTACGCGCCCTCAAACCACTCATCAGGATCACGTTCTCTTGCAAGTCCAAAACGAAGTTCACCAGCCCACTCAGGAGTATGTCCATGAACCCAAACCCCACCAGCACAAACACGCACGCGAACACCTTCGTCACCGGCGTTAACGGCGCTATGTCGCCGTACCCTATGGTGCACATCGTCACTATGCAGAAGTACAGGGCGTCCACCACGGGGTGGGTCTCCACGCCCGAGAACCTCTCTCTGTTCAACGTGTATATGCCCACTCCCACCGAGAGGTACACGCCCAGCAGACACATCCCTTGTCGGATTATCGAACTGGATCTGGGTTTCGGCTTTTGGGCTGTCCTAGGTTTCAGGTCTCGCATGCTCACCATGGCTGGGGCTGTCTTGCAACGGCTCAGTTTTTTCTTGTTCGGCTGGTGGAAGGGTTGTATCTCCGCGTGGGCGCCGATGTCGTTGAAGGATTTCGAAGATGGGAGGGCCAAATCGCCGCGTTCCATGGCTTGGGGCTCGTTCAGAAATGATGAGATTGGTGTGTGTGTGTGTGTGTGTGATGTTCCTTTAACTTTACTTGCGGAGTTTCGGAATGGTTTAATTTGAGCGAAATGATTGCTGCTTTGCCTCTTTACTCAGCAACCAAACATAGCCTCCACTGGGGGTGGGCCCCACGCCACGTCTGCTGATTGCGACGTTTGATTAGGAGTAATCATTTAACATTTTTCATACCAATCAAACAGGTACTAATGATGTGAGGGAGGAAAAAGAAGAATTATACTATTCTATTGTGGTTGTTTAAGATAAAAGAAGTACCAAACCAATGGGGGGCTCTCTTCTCTATATATTAATCAGATAAACACAACCTGCTAATTGGATTAAGTCCGATTACTATGATTTGGCAAATGACGAGGCTGTCTTATGGCAGCTAAATCAAGAATACCTTTCTCATTTTCCAATATAAACACCACTTTATGCGTGCCTAATTTCTTGTTTCTTGCTAAACATAGGCCCGGGCAAAAACTTCCGGCCGATCCGAAATCGGCCAAATCGACGATCAGATCGGGTGAAGTGGATTAATTCTCAGGTATTTCGGATTTTTTCTGAAGCAAATTTCGGGTTCAAACGGGTTTTAACGGTCGGATTCGGTGTTAGAATTTTCTCATCCGATGCACCCAAATCCGACCGTTCGTCTTCACCGTTTATTTTCTCCGTTTCTTTTACTTCGTCTTCTTTCTTTTTCTTCTTCACTTCGTCTTCTTTCCTCTTCTTCTTCACTCCGTCTTCTTTCTTCTGCTTCTTTCTTCTTCTTCACAATGTCTTCTTTCTTCTTCTTCTTCACTCCGTAAACATCCTCTTTTCTTCAACTTATTCCTGCCATGGCTACCGCCGCTGAGAAGCTCCCTGTTCTGGTTGATGAAGGTGGTGATGTGGAGATCTGAAACTCCGTGATTTCCCCCAAATGAAGCAGTAACAGAGACCGGCAAAGAGTGACGAAGGATGGCGGCACGAGACGCTAGAGGAAGCTTCTCAAACCGATGAATCCATCCGATGAACCCGTAACCCGCACGGATTGAACCCGCTAAAACCCGAGTTCTTCGTCGGTCGGAAATGGCTCCTGATTTTTCTTAATCGGTTTCGGATGATTTTAAGAATTTTGGTCCGAAACCGACCGTGGCCGACCGATGCTCAGGCCTACTAAACAACTCAATCTGCTATCTCGATATAGTTTAACGGATTACTTTTTTTTTTGTTTGTATTTAAGAATTTATGTAACATTCATGTATTCAGATACTAGTTTAAGTCATACATTGAAAGTCTTGTGTAGAGTGAGAGGCTTTAGTTTTAGGAGAAGTTTATGAGGAATTTTTCAAAGAGACACTTATAACTTCTTAATTTTAGAAAAATATTTTTTATGAAAGTCTTTCTCTCTTGTCTTGAGAGAAACTTTTCTTAAAGAAATCAGAGTTTTCTCCTCCGGCCCCCTCCCCCCTTCTTCTACTAGTAATTGATCTATCGTGATTTGAAGTCAAGAGCCAAGAATTACTAAACTATTTAAGGTCAATTTGTCAATACCAAAACTCCATGAAGTCCTTAAACTTTCTAAGGCCCTTGAGTTAGCCAAGGTCCCAAAAATGCCTAAAAAGTACTTGAGTTGTCAAAGGTCGTAGGATTGCCAAAAAAAGTTGAGCTATCTAAAGCACACCAACGAATGAAGAATAAACCTATATGCAGAGTATCATCGAAACTATAGATACTGGGATCCTTTTTATGAACCACCCTGTGTTGTTTATTATATTGAGTTATGAGTTTTTTCCTATATAAAAAAAATTCAAATGTACAAACAGAGGACCTTAAAATGTATACCAAAGAGGAGAGGGTCATTGTGATTTTTCCTATATGAAAAAAAAACTCAAATATATAAACAGAGCACCTTAAAATATATACCTGAGAGGATATGGTCATTGTTTCTAAGTGATTTAAGGAAAGACATGTTTTTACTCTACCTCCTTTTTATTGTTTATTAGGGATACAAAGATTAAGAAACTACAAAAACCTATAAAAAAATAGCAATACAATGATTAATGAAGTCCTAAAGTAAGGCTAACAAACCCAGCTTTCGAATTTTTAACGTAAATAATATTTTTTTAAAAAAAATTTATCAAAATAACACCTGTGCAACTTTATTTTTTATGAAAGTCTTTGTCTCTTGTCTTGAGAGAAACTTTTCTTAGGCTTTGTTTGGATTTGAGGATGGAAAAGGAGGAGTGGAAAAGGAGGGATTTGAAGGGAAAGTGAGTAGACCTCACTTTTCACTCACTTTCCCTTCAAATCTCTCCTTTTCCACTCTCCCTTTTCCATCCTCAAATCCAAACAAAGCCTTAAAGTCTGTCACCGTCGATGTGTGTAGGATTTTGACAAAAAGAATGTATTACTGAGAGCACGTTTTTTTTAATTCAATATCAATAACATTTTTTTTCTATTTTAGATTTCCATAAAGTTGTTTTTGAAGACATGTTTTAATAATTATATATAATAAATATGGACAAAAACACAAAATTATAATCTATAAATTAAACAAGGAGTTTATAAATGAGTAAATAGCATATGAAGCAAAGAAATTTAATTGTTGATTTTAATGTTTTAACTTAAATCCTCAATTTGTTTCAAAGTTTTATAATAACAAAAACAATAATAATTTTCATGGTTATTTTCAAAATTAAAATAAAGTTTAGTGGTATGAAACTTTTTTTCTTCTTCCATAAACTTGATTCACACAATATCTTAAAACTAATAATTTGTAACGACCCGTCATGGCCGTCACACTACGAAAAATACTACACACTACTGAAATATATATACTAAAATAGAATAATAAAAATATTTATAACACAAGTTGCTAATCAAGCAACCAACGTCAACCAATTTATATACAACAAAATATGCTACTATAAGGTAGTCTACAAAAAAAAATCCATCTCCAGGCATCTCTTGTGGCCTCTAGCAGCTATCTCTAGTCTATCCTTGTCCTGCTCCCATACAACACATGATCATCGCAATCCAAATCACATGAAAACATGCAAGGGTAAGCTAGAGACAATAAACAACTCATAATAATTTAATATGCAACATAACAACTATATAATCATCTTCGCATTCGACACATGAGACAAACAACATATATACTATACATCTTAACATCATTTCAACTTACAACATAACAACACTATCATCATCCTCAACAAGGTCAACATACAACACAATCACAGCTTAACAACACAACAACAAATATACAACTCATATCAACAACAAATCAACTCATCAACAACTTATGCATCGTCACGCATTTCAACTCGGAGATCTCCAACAACTGAGGTTGAGCAGTCTAGGTGGCATAAATCCTACCGAATCCAACGTTTGACCTATCTCAACCAAGTCAGGTATAGAACAACGTTAGGAACTCCGAAGAGAAACAGGTATAAACAACAATAGGCGATTTCTCAGGTGTGCCACTTAGACTCGGAGGTCCAGTACTACTGTCAGGATAGAAGGGTTTGGGTATGAGCCTACCACGGCCTTGGCTAGCATCACCAATCCACATATGGAGTTAGCCCACCCACTGTCCTCCAAGTACCACGCAAATTTAAAACAAATATTTAAATTAACTTATTTTAAATTAAGATTTTATATTTATTTTTTTAGTTAAAATTTTTATATTTATCTTTTAATTATAATAATTATAAACTTTTTTTAACCTAAGGGCAAAATAGTAATCTTACAAAATCATCAATTAAAAAATTTATTTTTATCTATCACATCAATCAATTCACTCACAAACTTTCACAAATTTTTTCTACACTTTCCATTCACTTTTCCTTAATCCAAACAACCTCACTTTTCACTCACTTTCCCTTCAAATCTCTCCTTTTCCACTCTCCCTTTTCCATCCTCAAATCCAAACAAAGCCTTAAAGTCTGTCACCGTCGATGTGTGTAGGATTTTGACAAAAAGAATGTATTACTGAGAGCACGTTTTTTTTAATTCAATATCAATAACATTTTTTTTCTATTTTAGATTTCCATAAAGTTGTTTTTGAAGACATGTTTTAATAATTATATATAATAAATATGGACAAAAACACAAAATTATAATCTATAAATTAAACAAGGAGTTTATAAATGAGTAAATAGCATATGAAGCAAAGAAATTTAATTGTTGATTTTAATGTTTTAACTTAAATCCTCAATTTGTTTCAAAGTTTTATAATAACAAAAACAATAATAATTTTCATGGTTATTTTCAAAATTAAAATAAAGTTTAGTGGTATGAAACTTTTTTTCTTCTTCCATAAACTTGATTCACACAATATCTTAAAACTAATAATTTGTAACGACCCGTCATGGCCGTCACACTACGAAAAATACTACACACTACTGAAATATATATACTAAAATAGAATAATAAAAATATTTATAACACAAGTTGCTAATCAAGCAACCAACGTCAACCAATTTATATACAACAAAATATGCTACTATAAGGTAGTCTACAAAAAAAAATCCATCTCCAGGCATCTCTTGTGGCCTCTAGCAGCTATCTCTAGTCTATCCTTGTCCTGCTCCCATACAACACATGATCATCGCAATCAAAATCACATGGGTTGAAATTTATACACAAAGCCCAAAAGTGGAACGGTCCGTTTTAAAAGTGGAACGGCCCGTTCTGATTTCGCATATTCCTCATAAAATGCATTTTGGAACGGGTCGTTCCGGGGCCGTTTCGGGGCCGTTCCGAGTTCCACTGTCAGCAAAAACATCATGCATAATCGATTATGCTTGGCACATAATCGATTATGGCCTTGCATAATCGATTATGCCTCACCCATAATCGATTATGGTCCTTCATATATATCAAATGACATCAAAACTAACCTTCAATGGAGTAGCTCTTCCACAATCACTCACGACCAGCCACCACCAGCCACCACCAGCCACGCAACAGCCCGTGAAGAACGTGAGCAACACCAACCGAAATTACTCAACTGAAATTCTATGACATACCACCACAAAGAGAGCTTCCTCTTATATTATTATTTCAAACGCAACGACAAAC